AATATCAACTCTTCCTACCCATGAAGATAGCAAAACCCTGGTGGGCGGGATTCTGAGATGACCCCCAGTGACCCCCACTCTCTTCCCAGGGGATGTGGGTGGAACCAGTGACTGCGACTCAGAGAGCCATCCTGGGATTGGGGGATGATTTTATGGCACAGTTGACTTTAAGAAAGGGAGAGTGTCCTGGTGGGCCTGACCTAATCAGGGAACCTGTAAAAGGCCAGGGCTCTTGCTAAAGAAGACGTTCATGGGTGAGGGGTTCGGTTCGTGGCAGGTTCTCTGTCGCTGACTTTGAAGATGGGGGGCCGGGTGGCAAAGAACGCAGGCAGCCTCTGGTTCCTAAGAATAGCCCAGTCAGACAGTGAGGGAATGGGGACCTCATCCCGCAACCGCAAGGAACTGAACTCAGCCAAGGACGCAAACGAGCACAGACCTGGGCTCTTCCCCAGAGAAGCCAGAAGGAACACAGCCTGACCGACGGCTTGAGCAGAGGGCCTGCTATGTCGGGCCCGGACGTCTGACCCGCAGGGCTGTGAGCAAGCAAAGGGGGGAGTATCTTAGGCTATCTGATAACCTAACACTCAGCAAGAGAAAACCAGGGCTGCCTCTATCCAAGTTTACAATCACAGATTTTAGCGAAATTCCAGTTTTCTGTATATAGGCCTTGAATTATTATTATTTTGTGTGTGTGGTGAGGAAAATCAGCCCTGAGCTAACATCGGCTGCCAATCCTCCTCTTTTTGCTGAGGAAGACTGGCCCTGAGCTAACATCCGTGCCCATCTTCCTCTACCATATATGTGGGACGCCTACCACAGCATGGCTTGCCAAGCGGTGCCATGTCCACACCTGGGATCCGAACCGACGAACCCCGGGCCCCCTGACGTGGAACATGTGAACTTAACTGCCGCACCACTGGGCCAGCCCCACCTTGAACATCTTTTGTTCAATTTATTTTTAAGGATCTTAAGGATGTTATTCTTACTTAAATCATATCACTTTTACAGTATCTTTTAAAATAAATATGACAGTTGTTAGTGTTTAGAAAAGCAACTGATTTCAGTGTATTAATGTCACAGTGAGCCATTTTGCTGGATTCTTACTATGCTTAATGATTTTGGCTTTTCTATATAGACAATCCTACTATGTGTGAATACAGAGTAGCATTTCTTCTAATGCTATTTATTTACTTATTTACTTAATTATTTGGTCTCAATGAGCTGGCCAAGTTCTCCGGTGGCACGTGGACTTGGCCGCTCCTAATCTGCAAAGGGCCCAGGTGGAAAGCGCCTTCCTGGAGGTGTGGTGGGAGGGCGTTCGCGGAGCACCCAGGGGTGGGGAGGGCGTGTCTGGGGGAGGGGGGCAGGGCGGCGGGAGACCGACTGCTTACAGGGGAGCTCATCAAGTGAGTGCGCAGGCTAAGGAGAAGTGGGACTGCTCAGAGAACAGGAGAGAAAACCAGGACGCACCCCGTGGCCATGCATGGGGGTTGGGATGACACTGGAGGTGCTGGTGTCATCTCACAGGTGTCGACAGATTGGATGGATGGACGGACGGATGGATGGATGGACGGACAGACAGGCAGAGGCATATATTCCCTAGCTCTGTCCACCCCGAGAGCCCAGATGCAGCCACCCAGGAGCCGTGAGCACCCCTCACACTGCGTCTTGGTTCCCAGACCCCATCCTCCACCTAAGGGAACGGGGGTCCTTGGAGAAACGGCTCCTCCCAGGCCTGGGGCTGAGGCTGGAGCATCTTTTCACGCCAGAAAGCAAGGAAACACTCAAAGGGTGGCAGGGACGGAGCAAAGGGACACTGGATGAAGGGTCCCCACTGGCCACATGAGGACAACATGAGCATCAAACCAAATGCAGTGGCAGACCGGAACCCACCGCAGAAAGGACCCCAGGGCACAGAGACGGAAAAGGGGGGTGAGTAACTAAAGGAAGACCGATGAGGGACGGGATGGTCACGTGGTTTCAAAGCAGCTTCCCACTCAGTGACGACGACGGGGGAGTCACTGGGCGGCCCGGCGGCCACACCTCAACCAAGCGATGAGTGGACAAGGGCCACGGACGAGCTGAGGTGGCAGACGCCACCCACCAAGATGCGCCGCTGGGACATTCCTGCAAAAAACGTAGAACCCAAATCTCGCCATGAGGAAACCCCACATGAACCCAACCTGGGGGGCCAGCCTGGTGGCGCAGCAGTTAAGTTCGCATGTTCCACTTCGGCGGCCTGGGGTTTGCTGGTTCGGATCCCGGGTGCGGACATGGCACTGCTTGGCAAGCCATGCTGTGGGAGGCATCCTACATATAAAGTAGAGGAAGATGGGCATGAATGTTAGCTCAGGGCCAGTCTTCCTCAGCAAAAAAAAACAGGAGGATTGGCAGTAGTTAGGTCAGGGCTAATCTTCCTCAAAAAAAAAGAATGAAAAACCAACCTGGGAGCCACTCTACAGTCACTGGCTGACCTTCAAGTATCAAGGTCATGAAGTCAAGAAACTGCGCACCTGTCCGGGTAGACTGGACACGACCAGGGAGCCCCACACGACGGGGACTGGAGGTTCAAAACAGGGGCACCAGGTGAGCCGTGAAGGGGCGAGCGCCGGCCGGCAGGTGCCGGGCTCCCGGTGGCCTGGGCCTGTCGGAGGGGGTCCTTGCTTCCTGGAGACCCTCCCCAAAGCGTGAAGGGCGAAGGGGCTGAGAGCCACCACTGACTCTAGAGATTCAGGAAAAGTTATTTTTACCGTACTTGCAACTTTTCTCTAAGTCTGCAGCTCCTTCGTGGGGTTGTTATTATTATTAAACACGAGCAAACACAACCATGTGACGTCACCCCGCATCTGCTCCTCCCTGTCTCCCCAAACTCAGAAATGGCCACCTTTGTCCCCAGAGGGCTGGGGACCACGGGAGCCGCATGGAGGGAAGGCGCAGACCTGCAGGCCGCCCTGCCAGCAACGGCCCTTCCCGGTCACGGTGAGATGGGAGGACGGGCGCCAGGACCAGGGAGGGGCTCGCCCTGGCGGCCCCGGGCAGCGGTGGCCCCAAGCTGGGCAGGTAGGAGGTGCGACCCTCCCGTGTGGGGGCTGCAAGGGCAGCTGGGCAGGATATGGGCCTCCCAGGTAGGTGGGGGCTCTGGTGCCCGCCCACGTCCCCAGCTCGCCCACACGCCCGACCCCCCAGGGACTGGGACCCAAGGCCCTGCTTCTCTGCGGTGCATGCAGCCCCGAACCCAAGGGTCAGGCCAGGGGCACCCACACCTCCCTGCCCGACTCGTGGCCTGTCTGCTGCCCTGCCTGCTCCGGCCACCGTCCCCACGTGGGCCTGTCCCCTCCACCGGGCCAGCCACCTCCACCCAGCTTCCTGCTGACAGCCAACCCGTGACCGGAGCCACTGCGGCCAGAGGCCACCACAGGAAGACCCCACAGGAGCGCCAGGGCTGGAGAGATGCGAGCACACTCCTTCCTCAAACGGACCCCGTCCCGTGCAGCCGGGGGGCCGCCAAGCCCCTAGGGCACCTGGAGCACCCAGCTGGGGGTGGGGGCAACCAGAGCGCCGCAGACCACGAGCCCCATGCGGCCGCCCCTTAACCAGCACCTCTGAGCCCAACACACCCTCAGACTGAGCCCTGGTGAACAGGTGGACTAAGGCTCGGAGGGCAACACTGTCAGAAATGGATGGAGGGATGTGAGCTTCAGGGCCAGCGGGCGCCCCCCGAGCATTGGCAAGACTCCAGCTCTCGGTCAGAAGGCACCAACGCCACCAGCGCCAGCCTCAGTTGCTGTCCCCCAACCAGTGCCAACTCCCTGGGCCCAGCACACATGGTCCAAGGTCATCTGCCAAGTGACAGTGAAAATCAGAGGCAGTGTCTGTAAACCAGCCACGAACCGGGAGATGGTCGAACTGCAGCACCAGGCTGGCCCAGCACCAGGGCGGGGCAGAGGACACCGACGTCCCACCTGGCGTGTGCCACTGGAGCCAGGCTCACTCTGGGTGGACAAGGCCAGAGCCCAGAGAGGCTGGACTTGGGCCTCAGATCTGGAGGGCGACAGAGGACACAGAGCCCCGGGTGACCTGAGAAAGCAGGGAGCTGTCTCCGGGGTCACCACGTCCAGCTCGCATTACAAAGAGGCCATAGGAGCCCGACGCTGCCACGAGATGGCACCCAGACCCTGGGGGGTGGACAGAGGGCCGCGGGGAGGACCGCGAGGCGAGCTGGGCGCAGACTTCTGACCCGCGGCTCCGTGAGGTCGTCCCCACGAAGGCCAGCCCTCCAGAAAGGCCACCTGCAGAGGGGACGTTCCCAACTGCCCCCAGTAGCCCCCAACCGGAGGGATGGCAGGTGAACGCCCAAGTTTCAGATCGACCCCTGGATCCGAAACCACAGCGGGCACGGACACACAAGACATTGCCCGGGTTTACACAACCTCCACCACCGGGTCTTGGGGACATTTTAGAAGTCGCTTTTTTCAGTTAAATGTTCTCCTAACCCCGTTTCTAGACAGAGAAGATTGAGGAGATCGCCTTCTAGGGTGGAGTCAGCACCTGTGCCCTTATAACCCCTTCAGTGCCCACAGCAGACATTGCTAATCGATCCCAGCACTCTCTTCCACGAAGACTCCAATCCTCAACAGAGACTCCCAGGAGCTGTCACCTGTCACTCAAGCTGGCTCTTGAAACAAAAAAACCACTTGTCCAAGGTGGATCAAGTGGTGATGCAGCCTGCCACACACGGCTCACCTTCCCCGCCTCCCCACCCCAGCACCCTCCACCACACCCCCTGAGGACACACCAAGCAGGGCCACCACTGGCTTATGTATGCCCTTATGTAAATGAGAAAAAGATGCCCCTCACCTCGGGTACAGACAGCCCCAGGCCAAGACACTCCCTTACAGCCAGGTACCCTTGTGCACTGCACAACCTAAGCAACTTTACCTGGCAGCCCTGCTCCAGAGAAGCAGGACTGGCACTGTGTCAAAGTAAGGATGATGACCTCATTCTTTGCAAGACTATTGTTCAAAATTATTGGCATCCTGACCCATCAAGAAACACACTCGACCACATTCATACAACACATAAAATAATAAAACAGCCAAGATTCTCTTCAGGTAAAACCGCCAAGATCCCAAACTTCGTGCTCAGGAAAGCTGCCGGTCAGCCTGTGCAGGCCCCACGCGGGCCCCTGGTCCCTGAAGGCCGCCAGCAGCGAAGGCACCACAGAAATCGCAGGGCACGAGGGGACGCCGCTGCTTCTGGCTCTTCACGATGTCTTCAAGGTCCCCATGGAGTCACCCTCATCCCATGTTTCAAAAGTGAAAGTCCCAGAAAGCAGCTGACACAAGAAAGTGGCGAGGACGCCACCTGAGGCACCGGCAGCCCTTCTGAGACGCCGCGGAGAAGCTGGTGGCGGTTCCGCCCGCAGGGAACCGGACCTGTGTCCTGTCCCAGCCTCGGGGCGGACGGAGTGGCTCTGGCCCCGGGATTGCAGCCCGCCCCTTCCCACGACCCCCGGCGTCGGTCCTGAAGCCGCAGCCAGGAAGGGGCCCGGCGTCACCGGCGCAGCCGCAGGTGCGGGTGGTGGCTCAGCTCCGCCAGCAGCTCCTCCTCCGTCGGCTCCTCCAGGACGTCCCTGCAGAACCGGACGTTAGATGGACGGGGCTCCGGAGAGCGAGGCCTGGCGCGTCCAGGGGAGCGTGCACAGAGCTGACGGGAAGGGCTCGGGGCGCCAGATGCGCAGGACGCCCCGAACAGTCAGACACGCCCAGAGGTGAACATGGCCGGGCCTGGGGACACGGGGACTCAGATCCCCCTGCAGACGTCTACAGGGCGTATTTAAAAGCCCGAGAGGACATCCGCCACTCGTGCTGGCCGGTGGAGAGAGCGGCTGGAAGGAAGCTGGGCTGCCTTGGGACGACCATCACTGCTCTGAGCTACAGTCCCACGCAGAAGAGGGGGCGAGGGCTCCTCGGCCACCTGTCTGCACCCCCAGCTGTCACCTGGGGACTAAGGGTACTGAGGCTGTTCCCGGAGAGCAGAGGGCCTTGGCGGACCCCAGCTCCGGACTCAGCAGGAGGGAGGCAGGGGCACAAGTGTGTGGGGCGTGACACCATCACAGGCTGCCCGCCGGCCGCCTCCCTGCCTCTCCCTCCCTCCCTCCCCACCCCAGGGGCCGAGCAGAAGCCTCTCCCTGTCCACACACCTGAACAACAGCTCCACAGTCATCTGATAGGGGGCCTCCGGGTCTCCGGCGAGGGACTGCAGGTGACTGCGGCGGTCCCACTTGTGGAGGAAGTTCTAGAAAGCAGGAGAGAATGGTGGCCGGTGGGTGTGGGCCTCGCATGAAACCAGCCTGTCCCCTCCCTGACCCCTCCAGTGTCGGCCTGGCGTCCACCGCAGGGAGCTGAGGGTCCTCCTGGATGCCGGGATCCAGGGCCCACGAGGGCCCCCAGCTCCTGCAGGAGCCACGTGCCTGTCGGCCCCTCTCCAGCCCCACCCAGGGGGTTGAGAACCCCCAGAGGGCAGGGTCAGGGCCACTCCAAGAGGCTCCCAGCAGCCAGGACAGGCAGCGCCGAGCCCCAAGGGACGGACAGAGTCTGTGCTCAAGGCTGCCTGAACCTGGCACAGCCCCTCTCACCCAGGTGCCAGGCGGGCCCTGCCTCGGCCTCACGCCCACCACCAAGTCACAAAGTCCCGCTGAGGGCACCCCGGCAGGGAGCTCCGGTACCTCCAGAATCAGGGCCAGAAACAGGTTGACCCAGATGACGGACGACACCAGCCACCACAGCACAAAATAGACCTTGGACCACCTGCAGGGAGGAGCAGGAGCCCGCCCAGCCCGCCGTGAGCAGAGCGCCACGCCCAGGTCCCGAGAACGACAACGTGCATGTGCACAGCCACCCTCCCCGAACCCCACCTGGCAGCTCCCTGCCGGGGTGACTCCCATTTCAGAGGCGACCAGATTGAGGCCTAGAAACGCTCAACGAGCTCCAAGGAGCACCCCCGGCCAGAGGCGGGGCTGGGGTCTGAACCCAGGACCATGGCTGGGCCGCGCTCAGCGCCCAGACTCCCGACCCCGGAGTGAGGGCCCCCCTGTAGTGGAAGTGCTCCCCTGACACGCCCCAGCAACCCCCAGGAGGGGCAGACCCAGGGTCATGGGCAGGGGCGCAGGACGTACGGCCTGCACGAGCCACAGTCGGCAGGGAACGGGCACCCGCAGGACGGGGTCACTCACGGGCCCGCGTAGCGCCGATAGGCGTCCAGGAACACCTGCCAGTTGTTCACCACCATCACGTCCCACAGAGTGATCAGGGCGGCCTGCGGGCGGCAGACCAGGGTCCAGGAGGGCGCCTCGGAGAGGCGGGGAGGGCGCGGGAGGCGGGGAGGGCCCAGGGAGCAGGCGCGGGACTCACGGCAAAGTCGTCGAAGTTGTTGGGCCAGTACTCCAGCTGCTCAAAGCTCCCGCAGGGCGCCGAGCCGTTGTCCAGGGCCAGGCTGCAGGGACGGAACAAGCCGGGTCAGGGGGCGCGGGACACGCACCAGGCCCAGCGCTGCCTCGGCCCTGCACAGCGCGGAAGCCATCTGGGCCCCGGAGAAATGGAGGGACGGAAGGAAAGGCCCCGACCCCGAGGGTGCCGTGAAGGCATGGCGGACGCAGGAGCTGCACACACGCCAGAAACGCGCCTTCCTGGACGGCGGCCGGCGTGCAGGAGATCCCCCAGCCCCAGGGCCGCTGTCGCACACGCCCCTGCCAGCACACGGGGGCCTATCTCAGCGCAGGCTCTGGAGGGTGGGTGGGCAGGCAGGCGGGGGTGAAGGGAGAGCAGGGGGAGGAAGGCGGAGGAACCAGGGCCCCTCGGGGAGCTGCCCTGCACGGTGCCGGCACCCCAGAGGCCGCTCCCTCGGCACCTTCGGGCCCCATCTCACCTGCTGTTCCCAGGAGCCACGACGACGCCTCGGAACAGGCTGATGCCGATGATGGCAAAGACGTAGTACACCACCTGGGGCCGGGCCGGGCCTGGTCAGCACCTGCCGCACGCGCACGGGCCCCACAGAGCCGGGCGGAGCCCTGTGACTCCCAGCCCTGGCCGCCCCCAACCGTGGGCACCGCTGGCCTCCTGAGGACACTGGGGCTCTGCTCCCAGGGACCCCACCTCCTGGCAACCAACCTGCCCCAGAGGGAAGGAGGGAAGAGGTGCTGCCAGGGAGCCCCGAGGACAAACTGGGGCCCAGCGGGAAGGACCGAGGGCAGCCAAGGAAGCCGAGGCTGTCCACCCCTCCCCTAGGACAGGCAGGGCGGGAAGGGGCGGGAAGACAGGTGAGGCGGACCCTCCTCTGGGCTCCTCTGAGAACAGGCCAAGAGGACCACGGGGAGCTGGGCCCAGGGAACGGGCAGGCGGGAACCAGCCCTGCTCCTTCGGGAGAAGTCCCACATCCCGCCACACTCCCCTCGTCCGCCAGGAGGCGTGCAGGGAGCACCACCAGGTGGCCACCTGCCACTCAGACAAGGGGCTGCCAGGGGCCGCGACCTGTCCCTACCGTGCTGGGGGGGGGGGAGGGGAGGGGAGGGGCGCACACCCCAGGCTGGTCCAGGCCCCTTCTGGGCCTCGGTTTCCCTCAGTGTGCAACAGGGGTCCCTGCGGGTGGCGCCCGAGGCAAGATTCTACTTCCAACCCCTGTGACAGGCCCGGGGCCACAGGCCTCCCCTCCGCCACGCTGCTCAAACTAAAGGACCAGGATATGCGGGCGGCACCGTGGAGACAGCAGCGCTTTCTGCTGCTCACTGTCCCTGTCACCTTCTCCCCTGTCCGCTGGGCCCCATGCCTGAAGCAGCACCAGGGCCCACCTGCTCAGGGGCCCCCGCCCGGGCTGGGCCACATGGCAGGCCCAACTACACCTCGACGGGAAGGGGGGGGCCGTCACAACCTGAGCTCCCCAAATCCTTCTGAGCAAGGAAGGGACCACAACCTGGGACCCCACAATCTGGGGGCCACGTGGGCTCTGGGGGTCCTGGTGCCTCTCCTTCTTTCTTTCATCAGTTTCTCAATGTAGCCCAGGACAGAAAACGTGAAGGATTCACAAGTGACCGAGAGGGGCATGGTCAGACCAGCTGAGACCCTGGACCTGGGAGGACAGGGCCCTCTCGCTTCTGGTCGGCCCTGTGCTTCCCGGCCTAGATGACCCGCTGCCACCCTCACAGGGACCCTCCTTCCTGCAGAGCAGCCAGCCCCACACCATCCGCAGCCTCCTGTGGAGCTCACCCACCCACCAGTCCGGCTGCCCTCGAGCACCTCCCCAACGGCCAGCGCGGCCAGCCCGACTCACCACCAGGATCCCGCCAAAGGCCCGCATGTTTTTGATCAGGTCCAGGATGGTACTGGCCACCACCGCCATCAGCTGAGGACAGAAAGAAAGCACTGAGGTGACCCTGCCCACCCCTGACCTGGACCTGGAAAGGCAGAAAGGGACTGGGGAACCACCAACCGTTACACCTGCACACACACCCACAGCCACCCACGCGCACCTACACACACCCACAGCTACCCGGGCACACCTGCACACACACCCACAGCCACCCACGCACACCCGCACTTGCAGACAGCCACCCACACGCGCCCACATGCCCCCACACAACCAGACACCTCCACCCACCCAGCCGTAGATGAGTCTTGGCTCCAAGCCCCTTTGGCAAAGCTCAGACCACACTGCCCGCCGACCCAAGGGTGGGCTAGCTCCCCTCTGGTCAGAAGGCTCCAAAGAAATACAGGCCTGGAGGTGGCCGGGGCAGCCCCTAGTAAGGGAGTCTGAGGAAGGGGGCTTCACAGACCCAGCCAGGAACTGACTCCAGGGCCACTCCCTACATACGCAGGCCTGAGCCCCCGAGAGGCTCCAACCAGCCCACCCACCCACCTGCCATCAGAAGAAGCCAGCAATGCTGGAGGCGGGCAAGCGGAACTGCTGGCTGTGTGTGCATACGATTATGTGCATATGTGTACATGCATGTGTGCACACACGTGTGCGTACACATCATATGCATATGTGCGTGTTGCATGCACATCATATGCATGTGTGTGCGTTTGTGTCACACTTGCGTGTGTGCATGTGCATTGTGCACGCATGGATGGTCGTGTGATTGTGCATGCCTGTACTGTATGTGCATATGTGGTTATGTGTATACATGTGTTGGAAGTGTACGTGTGTATGAGTATGTACGGGTGTGGTTTCATGTGTTGTGTAATTTCCTGTTATGATTACGTGGATATGTGATTGCATGTGCGACATACATACGTGTGATTGTGCGCATGTGTGTAGGTGCACGTGTAGGCATATACAGTCACATGTGCATGCGCGTGCCGTGCACAGAGGCCTCGGGGCAGCAGCCCCCTTGCACCCAGGACGCCTGAGCTATCTTCAGAAAGGAAATACTGCTGGGTGACAGGTGGCCCCAAGGGGACAGGTGCACGACTTGGTAGGAAGGACGGGCGTGCACAGGGGAGGACCTGGACACTCAGAAAGGGGTCTGACGTCCTTGGCTTTCTTTTCTCCTGAAAGTTCTGAGGAAAACAGACAGGAACAGCAAACTCGGCCTCCGTGCCTGAACACCCCGACCGCCTCACCTCCCCACTCCTCCAGGTCAGTGTGACTCTCCATGGAAACCGAGGCTGGCAGGTGGCACGAGCTACCTCACTGCTGCACTGGGGGTCCCGGCGGTGGGCACCCCGCCAGTCCCACCTTTGTCCCTCGTTACCAGTAGTCACTAGGAGCCCAAAGGCTCTTCAGAAACCTCAGGACCCCTGGGAACATGCTGGTCCAGGGCTCCAGCCCTGCCCCTCATAGAGGCCGGGGCCCCGAGGAGCACGAAGCCACCCCTGAGACCAGCCGAGGGGCCTCACGTCACCCCTCCCACACGGGCCCGCACTCTTCTCATCCATGCAGGCCAAGCTGCACAGCCCTCACGCTCCAAACCGCCCCCCAGCACCAGCCGGGGGCGCACCAGGAAGAGCCCAAAGTGGCCACAGGGACAGTCCCCAGTCTGGGTCCCACCCAGCCCAGGCTCACTCCCTCCCTCGAGCGACAGCATGAGCGGGATGACAGAGCGGGCAGGGGCCGGGTCGGTCGCCACGCACCTTCATGCTCGGGATGATGCGCAGGAATCGGAACACGATGAGCATGTTCACCAGCCGGGTCATGTCCCACAGCGACAGCAGGCCCAGCATCTCCGGCTTCCTGCAGACAGACACACGGGAGCCGGGCTGGGAGAAGGCCAGGACGAGAAGACAAGGAGACACGTGGTCCAGAGACGGAGAGGAAGAAAGAGACGCAGAGAGAAGAACTTGCCCCGCAGCCGACGCCAACCAGAAAAACTCTTGTCGTGGCAACAGGGTGGACCCTGAGCCGTCACGCGTGCCGCCCAGGACAGCGCCAGTCACAGCGACACCCTCCAGGGCATAGCCCGCACAGCGGTGCAGGGCTCTCTGACCCCCCTGGATGCTGGCATGCCCCCAACAGAACTGGAGACCCCTGGACCCAGACCCCACTTCCTATCCTGCGACCCCATCCCTTGTCCCCAACCCCTGACCATGTGTCATATCTCTGACTCCTTCCTGTGACCCTGTCCCCTGACCTTGTCCCGACCCCCACTCCCTTAGTGTCCCTATGGCCTTACAGCGCTCTCATTTCTATTTAACTCTAAACCCCTTCTCACCCAGAAACATCACCGCCACAACTCAGACAGAAGCGTGACATGGGTTTTAGCGCACCTTAGACACAAGCTGAGCCAGCCCCACAGCATCACTGCTCCTAGAGCGAAGCCCACACCAGGGCCCGGCCCCCCACCAAGGACCGCGTCAGCCCTGCCCGTCGTCCCTGATGTAATGCCTTCCAGGCCCGCTCCTGGGGAGCCGACTCTAACAGCAAGCATCTTTCGGCCCCAGCCCCACCTCAAGCAATTCCAGGCTGCTCCGCTAAGACGAAAACAGCCCAGCAGAAGTACTGAGACCAGGGCTGCCGAGGCTGGCACCGCGCCTGCTGGGGCAGTGTGACCTGAAGGCTAACAGACACCACACAGTGTGGCGCCCCGGGACCCCTGCCCGACGTCTGTCTCTCTGCTCAGCCAGAGGTGGCGGGGGCGGGGCTCCAACAGCAGTGAGAATTCAGCAGGCCCCGGCCCCTGTCACCCTACAGGATATAAACTGCCACCCCGAGGGGGAGGTGACAACCCAAGGTCATACGATGGCTCCAGCCAGAGGGCCCAGCCTGATTCCAGGGCTCACGGGGCACCCCAGCCCTGAGCAGGCAGCTCTGCTGCCAGCCCCCAGGACACCTGGAGCCCCGGGGCCCATCCTCGTGCTGGGGGCTGAGCCCGCTGCACTTAGGGGGCACCTGGCCAGCTTCCTGTCACAGCTCTGGGAACGCTCTCGTCCTGAAGGCGAGTGAGAACCATTAAGAAAGATCCCCAGAGCGACGAGAAGGGGTCTGCACCCACAGCCCTCAGCGGGGCAGGAGCCACCCAGCTCTGCTAACAAGTGGCCGTTCAGCCCGGGGCCAAGCGGCCTGGCGGGTGGGACCCTCCCCGGGCGCTGGCCGGGGCACTGGCTCCTGTGGCCTCCCCCAGTTGTCTGCAGTCACATACCAGCCCGGGTGTGGGAATCGGTACACAGCCAGAGTGGAGATCTCCAAAACCTTCAATTACAAAAGAGAAGAAGGCAACGCTACAGCAGCGCTAACCCGGGCGGCTGGTAAGCGAAACACAACGCTCACGCCTGACACGCTCTCCTCAAAAGGGGGCTTCGGGGAGAGGTCAGAGCTCAGTCCTCGTCCCCGTGGGTCGCTTCCAAATGTCAGGACTTTCTGCAGCTGAGAAAGACACTGGTCTCAGGAAGCGGGGGCCCGCATGAAGGGGCGACGGGAGCGGCCGGAGGAGTCCCGGGTGTGGGAGCAGCTACTTGGTCCAGGACGGACTCAGGGGCCCTCCTCGGGTGGTCTTCGCTTCCGTCCTGAGGGGCCCACGGCTCTAACCGGTCAAATGCGAATAAATATCGCGCCAACCTCGCTGCTGTGACACACACACTGGGGTGACCCCTCATGCCCACAGGCTCTGGGGACAGATTTCCCCAGCCAAACCCAGGTGCCTGAGACCCCCACATCGAGGTCCCACTGTCCTTAGTGGGACTAGGTGAGTCGACGAGGGCTGTGGGCTCCTTCTGGGCCCCCAGTGGGGTCGGGAGAGGCAGCCTGCCCCCCACGACGCTCAGATGCAGAGGCCCAGCATGGAGCCCCTGCCAGCCGCCTGGCAAGCAGCTCGTTGAGCAAGGGGAGAGCAGCCCCTTTGTCACCAGAGGCGGGAGCCCAGATTCCCGTCACCTCAGGTCCTCGGGGGCAGCCTGAGATGGAACACAGCACAGAGCTGGATGCAGAGCACGCACCACCCGCCCGGAGAGGCCGGTACCCAAGCCCCCACCGTTACCAGCAGGACAATAGTGAGGAGCCCGTCGAACACGTTGCTGAGGAAGACGAGATAGCCGCGCAGGCCCAGGGCAAACAGCTTGAGCAGCATCTCCAGCAGGTAGTACAGGATGAAGATGCAGTTGAGAATCTGGAAGGGGACCCAGGGACCCAGCGTTCGGTCCCCATGCTGCTGGCCCCCCAAACTCATCCATGGGCCATAGGGCCCATGCAGCCACTCGGCTCAGCCCAAAGGGGGCCCAGGGCAGGGCCTCCTGAATCCGTGCTGCCCCCTCGGGTCATTCTCTACGCGACACCCGCTCCACTGTCCACCCCGCTGATTGCTGGGGCCTGTGTGTGTGGCTCCCTCTCCCCACTCCAGCCCGTCCAGCCTCCCCTCCCACGGCCTGGCACCCCCTCCTCCGGTGCACCCCCAGGTCTGGAAGATTCATCTGCACGAGGACGGCCCCGCCTCCCACCAGACGCGGAGCCCTTGTGGGGTGGCTGTTTTCTCGCTCCTCTTTCTGACTCCGTCGCCCCAGCAAAGGCCCAACAAGGGTGTCCTCAGCACTCACCCCCAGGACGAAGTCGTCACGGTCGCCGGGCAGCACATCTGCATCTCTCACCAGGAACACCTGCCAAGCCAGCAGGGAGACAGCTCAGCAGCCGGCCCAGCGCTGGGGCGACACGGCGGGCCAGTCGGGGAGGCGGGAGGGTGGGCGGGGGTGAGGGCAAGGGGCCCCCCCGCGTCAACACGAGCGCCACCCCGCGCTCACACAAATGGACACGAGGTTCCCAAGGGCGACAAGGTTCCCCAGGTAGTCAAAGTAGCGGTGGCTGAAGAGGAACTGGGCACTCCGCAGAAACGGAGACCGGTACTCGGGCCGCGGCGGGTGCTGCAAAGGGAAACACACGCTCAGACGCTTGTGCCAGCAGCCGCCTGGCGCCCCTGGGAGCCCACAAAGGTCCGCGCCCCCATCCCCGCCTTATCTCCTCTCCCAGTCCATCCAGCCCAAGGAAGTCACGTCAAACAGAGAAACGGTTTTATGCACAAAGAGGGAGTGAGAGCCAGTTCCGGACGACCTGGACCCAGCAGCGCCCTGCAGGCCAGCAGGCAAGCGTCCAGGGAGAGCCCAGCAGACACCACCGAGCAGACCCTGAGCAGGGAGCCCACCCGCCCTTCCAGATTCTCCCGGCCCGGGTGCCGCACCCGGAGAAGGGCCGGCCCACAGCAAATCAGGCCCACGACGGCGGCCAAGAGCTGCCTCCCGGGCCCAGCAAACCTCCTGCAAGAATCATCATCCAGAAAGGCGCTCCTCCCCGACTGCCACCTGAGGATCAGTGTCACGGTTTCGGCAAAGTCGGCACTGACGGCATGGACCTAACGTTCCCCTCAAGTCCCCTTGAAGGGGACGCTCCGCTGCCCAGCCTCGTCCCAAGCAAAGGCCTGATGTGCGTTCACATAGAAAGCGTCCGCCTGTCTGTCCCTACGACCATCTCCCGTGCCCCAAGGGGTGTGGAGGGGGCCACACGGAGGAACGCTGCTGAGAAGTGACACCCCAAATGATGACAGGACCAGCACAGGCGCTCAGTGGCACAGGCCGAGCAGGGCCTGGCTCCAGGCGACCCGAAAGACTTCAGGAGAACACGCTCTAGGGAACCCACCCCCAACAGGGGCCAATGACGAATCTTGGAGAAGCTGACAGTCGTGAACTGAACTATGTCCCCCGAAGTTTATATGTTGACGTGCTAACCCCAGCACCTCTGAGTGGGACCATATTTGGAGACAGGGGCTCTGAAGAGGTGACTAAGGGAAAGTGAGGTCACTGGGGTGGCCCTAGTGAAAAAGATGAGCTTGTCACAGAAAAAACCGTTCAGAAGCTTCCTCCAGGCCCGGCTTGGCCCGGGTCGGTCTCTGTGGTCTACGAATTTCATAGGGTCAATAAAACCTCCCCAGTTTTCAAGAGCCACACCAGCTCTGTTCCTGTTCACCAGCCCAGGGCCAGGACCGCTGGAAGACAGGTCCATGCCCTGGTCATCAAGCTGCCCAGGCGGTCCGGGCCAGAGGGCAGTGAGAACTCCCCGCTAACCCTGGAGGCCCAGCCCCAGCAGGTGACAGCCTGGCTCCTCACCTGTTTAATCACCCTTTTGTCAAACTCATGGAAGAGTTTCTGAAACTCGTCAGCAGACATCATGTCGCCCCCATAGGAACGCAGCTTCTGTGAAGGAGGGAAGCACAGGTCAGCCGGGGTCAGCGGGGGTCAGCTGGGGTCAGCCTCGGCCAAGGGGAGAAGGGCCTAGAACAGAGGTGAGCCAACCCACACACCCAGACAGGCCAGCTGATCTGAAATGACGCCCCCATTCTAAAAGGGGCTGCTGGCCCAGGTGACCTCGGGGTGGGCGGGGCCCTACCTCCACGATGGCCTGCTTGTGGCTGCCGGCCAGCTGGACTTTGTGAAGCACCTGCAGGACGTCCTGGGCCTTGACCCCGACCCTGTGGGGAGAACACCCAGGCCCCAGTGAGCCCCGCCAGCCCAGCACCCAGGGGAGCCCCGGCCTCAGGCCTCAGCGGCTCTGAGTCCACGACGCAGCCCTGGGCAATGCAGGGCCTCCACGAAGGAGGCGACATGGGCATCTCATGCCATCCTGTCATCCAGAATCTCAGGAGACGCATCGCCCCCACCTTGAACAAGAGCACATGGTGGTCGGAAGCGGTGCAGGACCCCCAGGGGCCCACAGACAGTGAGCAACCAGGCCCGGAGCTGGCCCATGACACCACCCAGAGGCAGGCAAGAGTGGAAACGTGCCCCGGGCCACTGGTTCCGACACCCGAGCGATGGCATGGGGCTGTAGGACAGGCGCCAGTGGGGTGAGCAGGCCCCTTGCCAGCCCAGAGTCTCGGGGGTCCTGGGGACAAGCAAGTTAACCCAGATGCAATGCCAGAGACAGCCTGGAGCGAGCGCGGACCCGGCATTTCCGACCCTGCCAGCAGGCAGCAGGGACTCGGCGCAGGGCTGGCCCCCAGGGCAGCAGTCCCCTGTCCCCAGGGAGGAGGGCGTCCAGGAACAGGGCACTCACCCCTGGGCAGCGGCGCCACCCTCTGCCGACAGGGAGCAGAGGACCTGGTACGCGGCCCACGTCCCCAGCCGCCTCCGGAGCAGCGAGGTCTGGAGAGACTTCTGCAGGGAGCGTGGCTCTGAGCGGCGCTGCTGCAGCGACCTCACCAGGGCAGTCCCTCCATCTGTCCCCGGCAGGGCCCCTCGGGCAGCAGGGCACAGCCCCAGGGTCCCACATGACAGGCCCTGGCTCCCCCACCGTGGGCTAGTGGGTGTGGGGTCAGCTGCCCTGGGGCTGCCGAGGAGGGGGCAGTGGAGGGGGCCCTGGGGCTCAGACCACCCGGGGGACAGGAGCAGGATGTGACGCGGCTCCCAGCGCCCAAAAGAGGAGCCAGAGGGCGGCGGGGGACCACGTTGGACCCCCGGGGTGTGGCTCACCATCAGGTAGCCCCGGAACTGGTTGTAGATGATGGCAGTCAGCAGGTTCATCAGAAACAAGCTTCCTTGGGAGCAAAGGCCACGTCAGTGGGGCCACCACGGCAGGGGCAGGGTCCCCGGAGGAGGGAGCAGCGGGTTCCCAAAACCAGCTGTCACGGACAGGGCTGGGGGCGGCACCAGAGGGGCAGCACAGGCCAACCGCCCAGGGCTGTCGGCGGGACGGGGGTGGGCGGGCACCACTCCACACCCAGGCCCCTGTCCTCGTCCAGCGAAGGGGAGTGCCACCTGGCTGCCTGGCCGGGGGCGTGAGGGCAGAGGTCATCAGTGGTCACAGACCAAAAACCACAAGATGGGCCACATGGAAGTCACAGAATCAGAGGTCACACTGACACGATATCACAAGGTCAGGGATCACAATGAGGTGAATTCACAGGGTCAGGGATCACACTGAAGTGATGTCACGGGATCACATTGAAGTGATGTCACAGAATCACGAGTCATGCGAAGTGAAGTCACAGCATTGGGGTAGCATCGAGGTGTAGTGACGGGGTTGGGGGTCACATTGAGGTCACAGGTCAGGGAGCACCCCCACCCCTGAGCACTTGGGCTCCGGACCGCCGGGGCTCACCGATCAGGGTGAAGACGACGAAGAAGATGGCATAGGCCCGGTGCTTGGAGTACGCAGGGATCATCACTGAGAGGAGAACGTGGGGAACTGAGCCTGCTTGCCGCTCAGCACCGGCCGGCAGCACTACCCCACACCGCCCACCCTGAGAAGGAGCTGCGGCCTCCTGTCCACGCTCAGAGCAGCCCCCACGCTGTCCCGCACACCCGGGGACAGGGAGCCGCCAGCTCTCAAGGACGCCCGCCCCTGACGCAGGGCTGCCACCCGCCTCCCCGCAGGCCGAGGTCCAGCTCTCCCTCAGTGACTCGCTGGCTCTCAGGACACAGGGGACAGGGCCCAGGGTCCCGCTGCACAGCTCCCCAGGAGCAGAGGCCCGAGCAGCCCTCCTGGCAAGGCCTCGAGGGTCGGTGATCACTCAAGTCCAAGGAAAGGCCCCGTCAGGGTGGCCAGGCCCAGCCCGGCCCACGGCCACAACTGCCTCCCATCAGAGCCACCTCCCGCCACAGCCGCCCGCACAGACAGAGGCTACTAGCTCCCCACAGCGTGTGCAGAGGCCACCGAGGACCCCAGGGCCCCCGAGCTGCAGCCACAGCCGCCCGTGCACAGGGGGGCCCCTGGGACCCATGGAGCCCAGGGCCATCATCACCACCTAGGAACGCGGCTCACTCTCAGCCCCTCAGAAGAGTCAGGAAAAGGAGGGGGAGCGAGAGAGTACAGGGAAGGAAAAGGGAGGAAAGAGGAAAAGGAGGGCAGGGGCAGCAGGGCACCGATGCCCCGCTCCCCGCCACCAGGGGCAGGAGGCCAGAGCGCCCTCGCCGCACGCACCGTCGGGGTTGTTGGCTGTGGTCAGCAGCACGAGGAGCGACGTCAGGGCCTCCGGCAGGTTGCGGAAGTACGTCAGCCTCTCCTGGGCCTGCCCGTCGTCCTTCTGAGAGCACAGGGCGCTCTGAGGGCCATGCGGGGACCCGACACACCGGGATTGCCCACCGTGGGGTCAGCAGCCCCGCCCGCGTCCCCCCATCATTTCCCAGCAGGCTCTGCGCTCACGGCTGGACAGGACCCAACTCAAGGTCCTCCGGGCCCCAGCGGGCGTCCAGGGAGGCTGCACGGACGCAGCTGTCACTCGGAATGGCAGGGAAAGGCTCTCGGCTGGCCAGGCTGAGGGTCACAGCCTGGAAACCAATGGACCACCCATGGGGACAAGCCAGCCCGCCTGCAGGCCAACCCCGCCGCGCACCGTCCTGGGCGCGCTGAGGGCGGAGGAGCAGAAGGGCCGCCCTGCGGAGAGGAGCTGGAACGGGGGTGGCGACCCCCCGGAGAGTTCCCCCCCCCCGCCCTACGGTCTGTGTGTAGGGACCCAGGACAGCCCGCTCGCTCGGCCGCTCACTGGAACTCGGCGCCCGGGCCTGTGGCTCATCAGAGCTCCATGCAGGGCCACCCGCGCCCGGCTCCTGACCGCCCTCCTGGGGGCAGATGCCCCCGGCCGCCCATTCCTGCCCTGTTCTCTGGGCCACACTGGACAGGGCCTGAGGGGGCCGAGGACAAGGAACCTCACAAATCGGTCACTGTCACACCCCCCTCTGAACTCCATCGGTGGCGGGAACTGGACCCTCACGGAGACGGAAGCCAAAATGCACAGCCCTCTGGCCCCGCGGTTACCCGAGGCCGCTCTCCCCAGCCCAGCCCCCTTCGCGGGGCAGAAAACAAAGCCGGCAGGGGAGCCGACCCTTCCGGCACCTCAGGACCCTCGGTGTGCCCACCCCCAGCGCCCACCTGTCCTGCGCTCCGGGAACCGCAGCAACGGCAGCGTCACTGGACGGTCCCATGGGGCCAGAGGTCCTGCAGCTGGACCCACCTCACAGTCCGGCTGCCCCCACCCGCCCAACACATACGCACAGGGACACACACACGAAGGGGGCCCCCGGCTCCCCAGGGTCACAGGGGACAGTCCACAATCTTCCCTCATGGACAGCACAGCCCCAACCCCAAATGCTGCCACAAACTCGGAGAAGACCAGCCTTGGCCAAGAACCAGCCAATTCCCAGGACAGAGACGCAGGACAGCCCCAGCCTGAGCAGAGTGACCGTGGCCAGGACATGAGGAAAGACACAGAGGACCACACATGCAGGGGATGGGGAGGCCAAGGCAGGCGCCGAGGGCAGGGGGGACAGGCACAGACACCTCCACAGAGCACCGAGCTCCTGGGGCCGGGAAGCGGGGGTCTGGGGGGACGGGTACCCGGGTAGGGAGGGAGAGGAGGAGGTGGCAAGAGGCGCCTGGATGCAGAGGTGGGCAGGTGCTGTGTGGGCAAGATGGGTCCCAATGGCCCTGAGTGCCAGTCTTGGGGGGACCTCCATCTAGGAGGGGTGCAGAGAAAACCAGGTCAGTGAACGGCCTGGAAGTGAGGGGACAGGGGGCAGGAAGGGAGGAAGGGGACAAGCAGAGGGAGGGAGAAAGAGAAGGAAGGAGGGAAGTGGGGGGAAGGGCAGGCAGGCAGAGCCCAGGAGGCCCTGGGCAGACGGGTGCCCAGGTAGGAGGCACAGTGGAACACTGTGGCCATTTGAAGAAAGACATCTGGCGTCCAGGCAGGCCACCACGGACCCTGCTTACAAAGTGGGCAGGCGCCCTGACCTGGTCCTCATCTCAGCTGGCCCAAGAACCACTGGGCAGAGCTGCCACGCGGATTCCCCGAGGGCCCACCCTGTCAATCAAACCGCAGGGCCCAGGGCTGGGACATGGCAGAGTGGAGGCGGTACCTTCTCTCCTGTGAACAGCAGCATCCCAAACATGGTGAAGAGACACAGGTGGAGCGCCAGCAGCAGCAGGACACTGGGGGACGGACACTGCGCTCAGCACTGGACACACACCCCACACACCCAGCAGGACAGGGTCCAGGGACAGCCGACCCCACCACCCAGGGAGCTTTCTGCAGCCGGCCCCTGGGATGGGTCCCTTCCTCCCCCTAGAACCTGCCACATGCTTGCCCAGGGGGTCCTGTCCTAGTGGAGCCCTCTCTTGGCAGGGACAACTGGCAACCCCGGGGGCATGTCCTGGGGACCCAGAGAGGCTGCACCCAAGAAGCCCAGGGACTCTCGGAGGAGGAAGGCCACTTCCATCCATCTGGGCTGGGTGGTGAGTGGTCGGTCATGTGAGCCACTTGGGGAGGGGACCGGAGGCAGGCAAAGCGCCCAGTGGGTCTCACAGACCACGTGCGGGTCTCGGCCCACAGCTGCCAGGATGGGAGCCTGGCGGCGCCCCCATGGCACAGCAGAGAGCAGAGACCCCCGCCCGCCCCAGCGGCCCTGCGCCTGGGCCCACCTGGCCATCTCGGGCAGCGAGCGCCTGAGGCACTTGAGCGTCTTCTTCATCATGGAGGAGTTCTGCATCAGGAAGAAGGGGCGGAGGAGCCGGCGGACCCGCAGGGGCTGCAAGAGACCAGGCCGCGCTGGAGACGGCCCCTGGCGCCCCCGCACCCAAGGCCAGCCACACCTGTGGTCACCATGGTGATCACCACAGCCAGGGGGCCTCCCCCGGCCACACCCTCGGCTGGCTGCTGGCTCCCGGCTCCTGGTTCCGGGTCACTTCTCTGCCGCAGACCTGGGCCTCCCCTGGCCCAGATGCTCGGTCCTGCCAGGTTCCTGACACCCACCACCACGTCCCCCCAGGGCACAGCTCGGACTCCGACAGCACCTCAGGGAGGGGGCGGCCGGAGCCACTCGGGGCACCCTCCTCTCTGGCGCGCACCCCGCAGAGTGCCCTCGGTGTGTCTCTACTCAGCGCTGTCCTGCCCACTAGGGGCTATTCCACGTGCCCTCCTCAGCCTTCCTCTTGGCACACCCCCACCTGGCTCTGGGCCTCACCTCCAGACACACACACACACACACACCCCTTCCCCTCTGCCCTCCTGTCAGAAGTAAAAGGTCCTCCCTCCCCACACTGTCCTCAGGACCCCCCGGTCCCCCAGGAGCCCTTTTTCCCTCTCCACTATCAACACGCCGCACACTTTAACACCCGCTACTCACCAGAAGGACACTTGCCCCTTCACTGGGCCCACGTGCCCCTGCTCCCGTCCTAGCCAATCAGTCCTCCTGTCCAGGGGCACTGGACCCACCTGTGAGGACCTCCAGGCCTCGGAGCCCAAGATTGCCTTCCATCCCCCAGCGCTCGGCACAGACAGCTGCCAGCCCCCCGACACACGGCCTCAGCCCCTCTCGTCCTGCCCAACCCCACACGCTGGACACCCTGAGCACCCTCCTCTCCTCTCTGGCCTCAGCCCCAGTGTACCTGTCCACCCATGCGATTTTAGGTATCATGCTTATGCTCTGGACTCCCACGTTCCATCTCCGATCCAAGCTCTCACCTCCACACTCCCGTCCTCAACCTGAACATCTGGTCCCCGAAACACAAGGCTGCCCGGCCGCCTCCCCGCCAGGGCCCTCCACGGTTGCCTGGGGTCCATGCCAGCCTGGGGTCCACGCCAGCCCATCCTGGGCCTGCCCCCGCCTTCCACCGCCGCAGCGCTCCACCCACAGTCTGCTCAGCTGGCTGGTATGCCCATCCCTTCCGTCTCAGCGTAAATGCCACCTCCTCCGGCGCTGCCCTGGGTTCCTGCCCTTCACAGCACCCACGGCATTTTGGAATCCTATTATATAGCTGGTGTTTCCCAGCCACAACAGAACAAGGTCCCACCGCACTAGCACACAGTAGGCCCTCCAGAACATGTGCAGAATCAATATCCCAAGGACTCGCTCAACCTCCCCGGCTGCACCTGTCCTCAGGAGGGACCCCGGCTCCCGGCACAGGACTGAGACGGCCAAAGGAACCAGCGGTGAACGGACACTGCTCAGGGCTCAGCCCCTGCCCCCAGCTCACCCAGAATCCACTCACTGGCCCCCGGCAGGAAGCCCCTGTCTTGGGGCCCAGTATCGGTCTCAGCCAGCCCTCGAGTCAAGCAGGAGCTGAGCATCCCGCCGGCGCCCCAACCTGGGTCTGGACCCTCGCCTGTAGACAGATAGGGCCCAGAGCGCAGCTTCTCCCAGTACCCCACCCCACCGAGGGCCTGCCCGACGCCGGGGCCACCCAGTGCCACAGACGCAAGGACATGCAGCCCTCACGAAGGAGGGGAAGGTGCTTCCACATGACTGGCCTGCAAGGAGGAGCCGGCCCAGTGCCAGTTAAGGATCACAGCCCTGGCCCCCAAGGCTTCAGGGACAAGCCCCCAGCCAGTCTGAAGACAACCCCGCTCCTGTGAGAAACAGAAATGGCCAAGCCAGAGCAGGGACCATGGCCCATCGGGTGACCAGAAGCCTGCGTGTGATCTGACCCTCCTGGCCACAAGGTTGGGGCCAGCAGGACCCCCATCAGGTAGAAATGGACATGGTCCTCCAAACGGGCCCCCGATGCCCAAGGGAGTTCTTAGGAACGGCCAGCTGGCCACAAAGGAAAACCTCAGGCCTGCTTTGCAGACAGCTCTGGGTGCTGGGCCCCAAGCAGAAGCGGACCCCACGTAGCATCAGAGCCTCAATCAGGAAAGCCCCTGAGAGACGGTGCAGAGGGAGAGCTTTGCCGTGGGCAGGGTCACCCTGTATGGACTGAGAAGGTAAATTCCCGGGTGGGTGGTCAGGGGCATGGAAAGAACGGGCTGGACGATGGGGACGAGGAGTCCAGGGAGGACGCTTGTGGACAGGCGGGTGAACACCCACCACGGGGCATCCCCCAAGAGGAGGCTGTCAGGACAGGATGACACGTCCTGTGATGCCCCTGAGCCTCTCCCCTCAGCCACTCGCTCCGATCTTCACAGAGCACACACAAAGTGGCCACAGAGGCAGGGACAGAGGCTATGCCCGGGGCCAACAATGCAGACCAAGGCCACCACTGAAGGCCCGCCTGCCACAAATGAGCCAGCACTGGCCCCCAATGTGGCTCCTGGTGGGCGGGTGACTGCGTGGGCCCCTTCCCCATGCAGGGCACCGATTTGTCCTCACTGGATGGTCAGGTGTGCAGGTTAGGGCTCTGCCGGCCCTGCCCTCCAGGCCTCTCCCAGGACCACCGTCCCAGCCCCAGGGCCAACGCCGCTTCCAAGGAGGGCACGCCCACAGTACTTGCACCATGACACGGTCCCTCGCCCCAAAGCAGCCAGCCTGCAGGAGGACCCAAGGGCGCTGGGAAAGCTCAGCGACACGAGCCACGGGGCACAGCCCTCTGTGGGGCTAGAGGAGGCCGTACAGGCTCCGAGCACTAGAATGAAACGGAAGCAGCAACAGTGTCGCTCCCCACCCCACAAGTCCGGGCCGCGCTGGTCCGGAAGCATCCGTTCCTAAGGGAGGACAACGCACCATAACCACTCACGAAAAGGGGGCAGGGTGCCGGGCCAGTACCCAATTACCGAGGACAGACCGGGGTGCTGCTGCCTGGGGGGTAGGGAGGTCTGCGTCAGGGATCCCCAGGCACATCCGACAGGAACCCTTAGCAGAACTCCAGTAATTAAAAAGGGCAGGACCACCGAGGACGGGCCCTTGGGAAGGAATGAGGCAAAGTGTGCGGGGGCGGGACAGGAGGAAGATCCGGCTCAGAGGGCCCTTGCTGGCGACACAAGCAGGCCGCAGCGCGGGGCGCTCCCTTGCTCGCTGGTTAGGTGGCTGCGTGCTCAGTATATACTAAGGGACCTCCTCCTCCCTCCCCACTCCGGATTTCACACGAGGATCGCTGGGCATGAGAGGCGCACAATTGAGCCCTGAAGCGACAGAACATCAGGTGGCCCAGCAGACGGGCACGATGGCCATCACTTGGAAACGGAGCCGGTGGCGGCTGGGCCGTCCTGCTCCCTTCGGGAGGGGAGGACAGCCTCCTCCTGCACAGGAAGGAGGGCAGCATCTCACTGGGGAGAGCCGGCCGCTGTCGGCGCTCCTGCAGGGAAGCGGGAGGCGGCGTGTGGGTGCCAATGGGTGTGTGCCCCCGTCCCCCACAGTCCTGGGCAGTGACGCTGGGCTGGGCCTGCCACCCACAGCCCGCCTCCCTCAGCCGCTGCCTGCATGGCTCGGCCAGTGGGGCAGTGGAGGCCCGGGAGGCAGGACAGGGAGGTGGGCCTGCTCCCTTCTGCTCACCGGCTGCTCAGCCCGCAGCGCCCCAGGGCTTCCAGCCCATTCCTTCGGCACCCCCAGAACCAACCTCCTCGAGCACCCGCCGGGCAGCACCCCCTCCTCAGAGGTCAGAGGTCAGGGTCCCAGCTCCAGGGGCCCCTGCCCTGAGCTTCCAGGTACCAACAATCCGGATCTTCCCTTGGCGCCCCAGCCCAGGGTGAGGCTCTTCCTGCAGCTCTGCGTCGCTGGGTCCCCTTTTGCTTTTCTGGTTACTCCACACCTGTTTAAGCCCCCGTGTGAAATTCTCTCTAGTAAAGGTCCTGATGGGTGTCTGTGTCCACCCCTGATGGATACGGATGTCCCCAAACCAGCTTTGCCCAGCTCTATTCTATCAGACCACAGGGTGGTGCTTCTGGGCGTCTCAGGGGAAACAAAGATGCTGCGGTCAGAGGTCAGGGGACGGCGGCTGACGTGGGTTTTCCTAATGTCGGGCATCAGGCGGTTGGGGCGTGTGGCTGGAGTGAGGTCCTGGGGGTGTTTTCAGGGGCATCCAGCCAGTTGAGGGATTCAGCTAAAACTGGTGAGGCAGGACCAGGACCTGGAACTCGCTCCCAGGTCCTCGGGCCGTCCCAGACCTCAGCGTCTTCACCCACAAGGCTCCCGGCCAACGGGTGACAGAAGTGTTACAGGGGGTGGGGAGAGCTGGGCAGGTGGGAAGAGAGCTGCAGGGCCTTGGGACCCCGCCCACCATTCACCTGGGCAGCCGCAGCCTGCAGCCCACCCAGAGCTCCCTGCTCTGGCCTCGGGGCTGCCTCCCCACCTACCTCCTGACAGACGAGACTCAGCGACACGGTCCAGTCCAGGAGAGAGACCACCAGCACCAGGAGGTAGGCCTGCAGCCAGAGGTTCTTCCAGAACTCGGCCCACCCGACCAGGTAGCTCTACAAGAGAGAGTGCACAGTGAGCAGGCAGGCAGCCGCGCACACAGGCCAGGCCGCGGTGGCCGGAGCAGAGCGCCTCGGCGGGCAGGGTCTCTGCGTGACTTGGGGAGCAGGAAGCCGAGCGGCAGTCAGGAGGCCCGAGCTCCCTGCCCGGGCTGCTGGTGAGCTCGGGCGGCTGGTGACCTCGGGCTCAGCACTGAAGCGCTCTGGCCTCAGTTTCCCCATTAGGAACAAGCTCCCTGCCCATTCTGTCTGCCCAGCCATGAATTCAGCCTGTGCACGAGAACGATGCTGGAAAAGACCAGGAAACACAGAAAGCACAGGCTCAGGGGCCGACGCAGACGCCTGGGGAGGGTGGGACCCGGTCCCTGGTTCTGCCCTCACCTAGCTGCCAGTTCCCACCATCATACAGCCTGCAGAGGCCACAACTTGCAGATAAAAATGCAGGCTCTCTCTCACCCTTTGAGCCTTCCCAAACATACCAACCATTCAAAAAGTGCCAACGAGAACTTCTCACTAGTTTCAGTTCCACTCAAAAACCCTCAGACCTCCCAACCACAAGATGGGCTGAAAAAGAAAAATCAGAAACCGCCCGGGGCCCTCAGTCACACACAGGCACCGACACGCCCCCAAGCCCCTCGGGCTCAGAATAGAGGCCTGACCCACCCTCGCCACAGCGGGACTGTGGGCGGGCACCACGGGACCCGGTGCTGCAAGCAGGGCGTGGTCAGGCCTGCGCCGGAGCCAGGGACGTGTGCTGGGGCCGGACCGCAGCACTGGAACGGCTGTCGTTTGACAAACGTAACAGAACGTGCGGCCCACAGCAAGATGCCAACCCTCCATGTCTCACTGGGAAGTCGCCACAGCTCTGAAGCTCTGACGCGGCTCAGAAGCCCCAATGCATGGGGCAGGGCCCACCTCCAGCTCCAGGAAGGACTCAGGTCACAGAGTCCAGAGTCAGACACGCAGCTGCGTGAGCTGCAGACCCCTCTCCACCCCACACCCAGCTCCTCTCGGCCTCTGTCTCTTCCCGCGGAGGTGGGAGGGGGGCCACGGGAGAGACCACTAGTCCCCTCTTGTTGGGCTGGGGTCTCTCCTCCCAGGGGCACTGCCAGACCCCCCCGACCACTCCCGGAGGTCCTGCAAGGCTGTGCACCCTCGATCGCTCGACCCAGACTCAGTTTACACTCTGGAGAGAGAGAAAAGCTGACACAGCCTCTGCCTCAAGGCCCAGGATTCTCCAAGAAACCCAGGCCTCCGCCCGGCGGGTCAAAGTGCACAGAGAGGAGCACGGATGCGAGGATCCAGCAGCATCACCAATCAGGAAGGGGCCGGGCTTCACCTTCACGGAGACGTCGGCCACGAAGACCAGCAGGCAGAGCAGCTCGATGCTCTCAGTCAGGCCACAGGGCGGCTGCCAGGGGGCCGAGCGGTAGCGGACGTCTGCGGTGCGAGTGAGCGAGGAGGGGGTCTCGATGAAAGCCAAAAACAGGATCAAGAAAATGGTGAGGCTCAAGATCCTGGAAGAGGGACAAAACTGGTTAAAATGAAAGACCCAGACACAGTCCAGGGCCAAAAAGCAAATCAGCAGGCGGAACGGCCGGAGGGCAACAGGACAGGCTCCCCGGGACCAAAGGGTGGAGCCCACACTTCCCGGTCTGTGGCCACTTGTGTGGTTAGATAATATTAATCGGGGTGAAAGTCGATTGCCATGGCTGACCGGAACGTTCTGGAAAGGAACCTTCACCACCAAAGAGCCCTCTGTGTACTGGCTGGGCTCCGTTCCAACCAGGAGGGGAGACAGCACGTCCTTCTCCACCAGGGGGAGGGGAGCCTGCCTAGACCCTGAGACCTGCCTCCCCCCAGGAGGCCACAGGAACCCCGCCGTCCACGTGTGTGTTCTCACCACTGGCATGCATCCGAGTAGTACCATCGGTAAAGCCGCAGCGAACTGGAGTCCACGCGGTGGTGAATGGAGCGATACTGGAAGGGAGAGGCCACACGGGGGAGCATATGGGGGTCTCCACAATGCCCACCACAGCCAGCCACACGCTGAGCACCCCTCCCCACGAGAGGCCCAAGCGGGGAAATGGGCTGAGGATATGGCACTCCCGTGCCCCAGGGGGAGTTGCGCCCCGCAGACAGAGAGTGCACCCCGAGGGCTGGACCCCAGGGCCACCGGGTGCACGGAGGGAACCCTCGTTTGCTGAATGCACAGCTGTGCCCCGTCTGCCCGGAGGCTCTCTCCTCTGTGCAGCCAACTGTGTCACCCTGCAGGATGCCCCCGGCCTGATGCCGCACGTGGGGCACTGCTTGCTTCCAGTCTCTTTCGCTCGTGGAGCCCATGTGTGGTTTGTGAGGAGGGGGTGGTCTTGCCATCTCTGGACATCTGTCACAGGACTGGAACAGGGTGGTGCAAGGCAGCCCCTCGGTGGGTGGTCAATCAATGAGGCAAGTGATTCTGGGACTCCGAAAAAGAGCGCCCAGCACCCGTCTCCTTAGGGAGGACTCGAGGCGATGCGCCCAGAGGCCCGGTCATTACAGTTACGTTGACCACGCGGTCCAGCAACCGCGGCCTTGGCCCCAGGACAGCGAGGAGTGCAGGGACGAGCAGGGCACCCACCACCCAGTCCCCACAAGATCCAGAGACAGGCCCAGGCCCAGGCACTCGGAGCAGGCGCCACCCACCTGGATGGCATCTTCGATGAAGACCACAGCCTGGTCGAAGCACAGAGCTCGCCTGGCCTCAGCGCCTGCGGGCAGAGAGGACACATCGGTGACAAGGGGGACCATGTGGCAAGCGCCCATTACAGGACAACTGAGACCGAGGAAAGGACCCAGCTGCGCTTTCGTCCAAGGCTCTGGAACCAGATGCCCTTCACCTGCAGCAGGTCTGCACACACCCGGAAGACAGGGCCCCGCTCGGCGCAGTGTCCCCCGTGTGGGGCAGGGTCTGAACAGGTAAGGGGCCTTTTCATCGTGAGCACAGGGCTTGGGGCCCAGGGGAGAAGCAGCTCCACTCCCACCATTCCTGCCCCCCAGGACCGAGTGGCGGAGGACACGCGGCACTGAGCGAGGTCTGGAGCCAGGCCCCAGTTCCCCAACTGCTGGCCTGGGGTCTAGGGGCCATGAGCTTAAGCTTGCTGTGCGTCTCCCCCTCTGTCAAATGTTAACGGGCACCCAGCTGGGCCCCAAGAAGGTACCATGAGGGGCACCGCAAACACAGGAGAGCCCCCAGGCCCAGCCTAGCACACACAGCACACTCAGTAAATGGCTGGCTGTGGCTACCCTTCCGCCACCTTCCCCACCCAGCGCCAGGTGCTCAGGGCACAGGAGGACGGGATGGGGCCCACGGGGGCCAGGCAGGCTCCCCACTACGAGGGGCCTTCAATGCAGTCGGGCGGCAGGAAAGCCCTGGCCCAGCACCCCGGGGCCCTGCCCATCAGGGAGCCGCAAGCCACACATCTGGCCAGTCATGGTGGCCCTGGGTTCTGCCCACCGCATCATGGGCAAGTGCGGCCTGTGTGGCTTCGCTGCAGAAGCCACTGCCTGACCCAAAAGAAGAAGAAAGGCATAAGGAGCTGCCACTCAGCAACAGAGGAACTCCACTGCCTGAAGCCCAGGAGAGAGGGACCGCCCCAGGCAGCATGGGCCCCTGGGGGAGCAGAGCCATCCGCAGTCCCCAGCAGCTCCCAGATCAGGGCTTGCAAATGAGGTGCACAGCCCCGTCTCCATCTCCCTTGAAGATTCTACTTCCACATGTGGTCCTTTGGGGCCAGTGGCTGCCAAACCCGCCCTCACCCGGCCCCGAGAGAATGCAGACGTGCACACCTCTAGGGCAGAGGGGCCAAAGTCGGAGGCGGGGGGGGGGGGGGGGGGAGGGCGGCAGGCTGGGCACCAGGCAGAGCTCCAGGCCACTGCCCGCTCTGCCCACCATCCCCAGGGAGGCGGCTGCCCCCGTCCTCAGGGCTCATGCAGCAGGGCCCGGGGACCAATCCAGGTTGTGAGGGACCCTGGACAGAGGTAGGAGACCGGACTCTGTCCCAGCTCGGCCACGGCCTGGCTGCATCACCCACTTTTACACCACAGCAATCCCTGTCCTCTGCCTTTTCCCTAACCAGTAAGCCAGTGAGGGCCTGCCCGGGAACAAGAAGAGAAAATGACTCCCCTCAGCCTCTGGCCATGGCCCATGAGGTGGGACTGAGTCAGAAGGACCTGACCGAGGGTCCCCAGGGTGGGCGGGGCACCCTGCAGAGGCAGTTCCTCCACCCCTGCTGCTGGGAGAAACGGACTTCGGGACACACCAACCCCGAGTGCAAGGCCCCGGTTAGGAGCTCACGCGGAGCTGCAGGAGGAGTGAATAGGCCATTCTCAGCCCTGGGTCTGCAGAGCCTGGCCGGGGAGGCCCCGAACACTGAGTGAACTGTCCACGTTCTCAGAAGCCCGCCCCCAGAGGCCCCTCTTGCTGGCCACACTGCCTGACCCTGGCCACTGTCTCTACAGCATAGGCCTCATCTGCCCAGCCGTCCACTCTGCCAGGACTGGGACCCGCAACCATCACAGTGCACCGTCCAGGATGGCCATCGGCACAGAGCACAGCAGCTCTGCCACCTGGCCAGACCCATGCTGAGGGCCTCCCTTCCTGGATTCTCTCTGAAGCCTCCCACCGCCCCTCAGGGCAGCCCCTATGACTACCCTCCTTTTACTGAGACTCAGAAAGGCTAGGCAACCTGCCAAGGTCACACAGCTGGGAAGTGGCAGCACCAGAAAGGCACCCGGAAATCCAGACACGAAGTCTGCATCCCCTGACCGCCACCACGTCCTACGTGCCTTGTCCAGGGCCCTGCCAGGCCTGGCACGGGCCGGATGGAGAACTTTCCAGGGGACAGCCTCTGACATGGGCAGGCGGGTAGCCGCCCCAGTCTCTAGTTTTCTCATCTCCTCTGGGGGACCTGCCTCCATTATCCCACGGATGGGCAGGCACTACAGACCCCTCCCCAACAGAGAAGGAAAGGGGGCCCAGGGAGGGACCGTGGTCCAGTATGATGCTAGCAGTGACCGCACCAGATCCCAGAGCTGGGACCTTGGGCAGGCCCCGGAGACTCTCTGGTCCTCAGTTTCCTCCTCAGTAAAACGAGGCTGAGGCCATTCCATCCCTAACCCAGCACGCGATCCCCCAGCTGTCTGCCAGAGACATTGGACTCCACCCTCCCGCCCTACTCGGATTCAGCAATCTCTCCACCGTAAACAGGAAGGGCAGGACAGAGCTGCAGAGGGCAATCGGAGGAAGCTGCCCCGGCCTGGGGAGGCCTGCCCAAACCCAAGCTCAAGGGGGACCAACCTCTGGGGCGCCCCCTGGGGCCAGGAAGGAGAAGATAGAGCAAAAGGACTCTCAAGTCACTGCCAGCTGGGTTCGAATCCCACCTCGGCCAATGCCTGGCTGTGCGAGACTGGGTAAGGGAACGCCCTCCCTGTGCCTCAGTTTCCCCCGTAATTACAGGGGAAAATGGAAGTGCTACCTCCCGGGAGTCACCAAGGCGATCCACGGAAAGCACGACGCCCGGGTCCGCCCCGGGCACTCGGGGCTGCAGGGGGCTAGGTGCCCCCGGGTCGGGCGAGGCCTCTGGGTCCGGCTGGTCCGGGACAGGGCGCGACCCCGCAGCACCCGGCCGACGCCGGCGCCCCCAACTCCGCGCCCGGGCGGGGTCCGCAAGGCGCAGCGTCCCGTGCTCCGGAAGGCGGCTCCCCTGGAGCCCCGCGCCGCCCGGGGCAGCTCGGCCCCCGGCCGGAAGGGGCGCGACAGCAGCGACACGGCGCGGGCCGGCGGGACCCCCACGCGCCACCCCCGCGCGCGCGGCCCCCTCCCCCGGCCGCCGCTCACCAGGGCCGACCGGGACGCCGCGGCAGCCAGGTGAGCCCGCCGGGCAGTCGCGGCCGCCGCCGCCGCCGCCGCGGGCCCCGCTCAGCAGGGGCTCCGACTCGGCCCCGGGGTCCGCCATGGGGTCGCCGCGCCGCCGGGACCTCCCAGGAACTCGGGACGCGAGCGCCGGGCTCCACTGCGCAGGCGCGGCGTCCCCGCCCCTGGGGCTCAGGAGGAGGAGCTGCTGGCCGTGACGTAAGGGAGGCCCCTTCGCTACCAGCCAATGAGGACGGAGGCCTCGCGTGAGGAGGCGGGGACTCCGTGGGCCCCGCCCCTTAGGGCTGGGGTTCCGCTTCCTTCCACCAGGAAGGAGCTCTCGGGACCACCTGGGGCTGCAGGGAGGCAGCTGGGAGGGTGGTCCCCGGTCCTGCAGCGTCAGCGCCACCTGGGCCGTGGTTCGGGATGCAAGTCCTCGGGCCCGCCCAGACCTGCCAAATCAGAAACTGGAGGGGGCACGGCCCAGGAATCTGTGTTTTGCCATGTGAGGATGGAGTACGTGGGGTGACCGCAAAGGACATCCCCCCAAATGGAACTTGAGTTTGCCCTCTGCTCATAAAATTAGGAAGAATATAACTGAGGGTAAAGTTAAAAAGACAGATGACACACTGAAAAAATATTTGCAACATATATAAAAAGTATTCTCAACATTAATGAAGAGCTAGTTTGTATGGCACCTTGCCACAAAGTTAGCTTAAAATAACTCCCCTTTATTATTTCTCAGTCCTGGAGGTCAGAAGTCCAGCGGCTCAGCGGGGTTCTCATCTCAAGCGCTCACAGGGCCAAAGTCAAGATGTTGACCGGCCTGGGCCAGGCTCAGCCAGGCGGGTGGCAGGATTTCCTGCCGTGGGGCTGGGACTGAGGTCCCCATATCTTCATGGATGTCAGCTGATGGTCATTCTCAGCTCCTAGAGGCCACTGTATCCCTTTGCTCCTGGCCCTCTCCATCATCAAAGCCAGCAGGAGTGCACTGAATCCTTCCCAGGCTTTGAATGAGATGCTTCAAGGTGCAGCAAGATGCTGCCGGTCTCTCTGACATCCCCCTCAGCCGCATCGCTTTGCTTTTACGGCTCATGTGATTACATTGGGCCCATCAGATAATCCGGGATAATCTCCTTATTTTAAGATCAGCTGATTAGTAACTTAATTACAGCCGCAAAATCCCTTTTGCCATCTAACCTCCCATAACCAGGAGCGTGATGCCAGGGCGTGAAGGTCATGGGGGCCAAAATCCTGCTTCCCACAGAGCTCTTAAAAATCAGTAAGAAAAAGATTAAATTCTCCATAGGTGGGAAAGGGGTGAAGGACATGAACCAGAAGTTCACAAAAGAAGAAATGCCAATGATGAGTGCATGAAACAAAGCTCCATCTCAGTAGAATACAGAAACACGGGGCTGGCCGGGTGGCACAGCGGTTAAGTTTGCACGTTCCGCTTTGGCAGCCCGGGATTGGCAAGTTTGGATTCTGGATGCGGACCTACGCATGCCTTGTCAGGCCATGCTGTGGTAGGCGTCCCACATATAAAGTAGAGGAAGATGGGCACGGATGTTAGCTCAGGGCCAGTCTTCCTCAGCAAAAAGAGGAGGAGTGGCGGCAGATGTTAGCTCAGGGCTAATCTTCCTCAAAAAAAAAAAAAAAAAAAAAGACAGAGGCGCTTTGGGACACCTGCGTGCTGGCTCTGCTGCTTCCACCCCTAGGCTGGCCCAGCTGTAAGACCCTGGGCACATCACGCCCCTCTCTGAGCCTCGGTTTCCCCATCTGTATAGTCGGGAGGGAATTGCACCAGCCTCACGTGGCTGTTGGGACGGTCCAAACAAGGAGACACATGTCAAGCACGGGGCAGATGGGAGGTGCCAGGTGGAGGGGGCGCCCTTCCATCAGGAGCAGTCTGAGTGCCAAGCCCACCCCCAACGCCTGCCCTCAGAGCTCCTTCCCATCTGGTCCCGGGGAGATGGAGAGAGGATGCTGTGGCAGCGTTTCCCAGGCCCAGGAGGAAGGCATGCAGACTTAGCCGGCGCTAGCCACACCCCTCCCAAGGCTGTGCAATCTTGCAGGGCCCTCTGCCCTGCTTCTAGTGATGGGGAAACTGAGGCCAAGCTGAGAAGGACTCTGCCCGGGTCTCCCCTTGTCTGCAGCTGAGGTTGGACGAGGTCACCAGTCCTGCCACTTGCTCGGTCCGTGCGTCTTTCTGGAGCCCCAGACTGGGAGGCAGTCCTGCAGGAGACCCGGGGCCTGACAGTGACATCCTCCCTACTCTTGTCTTCCTCTCTCTTTTCCCTTCCAGCCCTGGCCTCTTCTCTCCCTCCTCCTCAGCCCAGAGAGGGGAGTAACTCTGACACAGTGCCCTGTCCAGGTGGCAGCGGAACCTCCCTGGAAGCACAGTTCCCAGATCCCCTCAACCTGCTGGACACTGGGCTACAGCAAACATTCCACAAAGCCATTCCTCCCCTGCGGGGGACGCGCAGGCACTTAGGCTGTGGTGCAGGGAGGAGCCAGGGAGGAGCCAGGGAGGAGCAGGGAGCTGGTAAAAAAAAGAAACAACAGGCCCAAGATGGAGTTGCTTGCCCCCAGGACAGCAAACCGAGACCTAATTGCAGTTTCACCCCCTCCCAGGAATGTGACCTTAAACCCATCAGGCTGGAAATTGCTGATCAACGCTAATGAAGCTATAACCTCTAAATCTCTGGCGGCCCTCCCCCAGAGAAAGAAAATTGTCTCATTGCCTGAAACAATCTTGTCCTTTGCTTTTCCTGACGACTTTGTCCTGCCCAGTTTCTGCCTATAAATACCTTCCATTTTGCACAACTCCCCTGAGCCTTTCTCTTTCCTAGGTGGCATGCGGCCCACTTCTTGAATCAGGGAATAAAGCCGGTTCGATCTTTCAGTTTACCCAGTTGAATTTCTGTTCGTCAGCAGAGCGATGGGAGAAGGAGGCAGTAACCTGGACAATCTTCACGTGCAGTGCCCTCAGCAGAAGAGAATGCATCCCGCGGAAAGGAAGCCGTCTCTGCCCGCCGTGGACAGCTGCCTCCACACGGTGCTCTCAATTAACCCTAGGACGGACAGCTGCCGTGGCTTCGAAGTTGCCGTCCCATCGAAATCTCAGTGCTTGCCCAGCTTCAGTCGTCGTCTGTCTCCTCGTAATTCTTCCCATCCCACACCCACCTGCACTCTTTGTCTTACAGTTCCATTCGAATTAAGTTGATTGATTTTCCCTACTTAATTTCATTGCAGGTAGTAAATGCTGCACACCAAGTCTGATGGGCTACCGTCTTTTTTCTGGCACGCATTAAAAGAAACATGCGTATTAGTTATCTAGTGCTGCGTAACAAATAGCCTGCAGTCTTCATGGGTTCTTACCACGTTTATTATCTGCCAGCTTTTCTTAGACTGGATGTGGCTCAGCCGGACGCCTCTGGCTGTGGGTCTCTCCCAGGCTGCAGTCAAGGTGTCGGCTGGGGCTGCAGCCGTCTCCAGGCTCGTCGTGGGTCCAGGCTTACTCAGCGGCCGTTGGCTGGATTCAGTTCCTCATGGGGTGTTGGAATGAGGGCTGCAGTTCACCCAAGTCTGTCGTCTGGGGATGGCCCTCAGCTCCCTGCCCCGTGGGCCTCTCTGTAGGGCAGCTCATGACACAGCAGCCGGCTTCATCAGAAGGAGCGAGCACAAAGAGCCAGAGAGAGAGAACGAACATACTGGAAGTCACAGTTCTTCAAAACCTCATCTCGGAAGGGACCTCCCGTCACTCTTGCTGTGTTCCGTCCATGAGAGGCTGGTCACCAGGTCCAGCCCCGGCGGGATGAGGGCGGTCAGCAGACCTGGGGAAGGCCACGCTGGGCCCGGCATGGCTAGCATCGCCATGCACCGCCACAAAGCAGCGGCTTCCTCCTGTGAGGGAGGCCAGCCCTGGGGAAGCATCGGGCAAAGTCAGAGCCCGCGGTTTGCAAAGAAGAGGAGAAAGGGGGTCTTTGGCGAGGAACTCCGTTCCTTGCCCTGCCCCCAGGCGAGAAGACAAACTGAGATTCAACAGGGGACAGTGTCCTCCTCTCTCCCGCCACCACCCCCCAACACAGAGTGTCTGTGTTGGAGGAATCCACCACCACCACACAGCTGCAATCGCCGTGTTGGTTCTGTTGCCTGTATCCCTCGGAACCTGCAGTGTAGACAGGCGTCCTCTTGGTGGGGACACTGACTATGGCTCAGCCTGAAGATCATTTCGTGTCCTACTAGGGCCACTGTTGGAGTACTGTCCCATCAACGGAGAGCTTTTTCTCCCAAGACACCCACCCTTGTCTGGAGGTTGTACCAGACTTGCTTTGCATGTCAGAAATGCCCCCTCGGTCCCAAACACGTTCCTTGAGCTGTGTTACTGTGGGCAACATGCCAACCACCTCTCTGTTTCGTTCCCACCTGGAACCCTCCTGGTGAGGCCGAGGGGTGTAAGGGAGACTCGGAGAGGAGCCTAAACATCCTCGCAGCCTGGGGGGCACCAGCCGTCATCACAGGTGGAGCATCCTGGGCATCTGGGCGCTTCTTGGTCACAGTCATTTCCTTCCTGGATGCACTGGGCCAACTGCCCCCCTCAGGCTGGGTTTCCTCTGTTTAGCTGCAAGAGCAGCGAGCATGTGCCCACGGAGGTCTTTCTAAACGCAGCTTCATGGTTTTTATTCATTCCTTCCCTCACTCATCCAGGCATCTATTGAGTGCCTACTGTATACCAGGAACAGTCACAGGCACTATGGACTCATACTAAAGGTGCTCATTGCAACAGTTTCAAATGATTTCTGAAAGCATGTGGAAAAAAGCAAAAATGCCCAGGCCTCAGGGTAGCGTGGGCGAAGCGTGGGCCCCAAGTCACCGAGATCTGAATTCGCATCGGTCCCCACCTCCGTGCTCGTGAGCTCCGGCAGCCTGGCACCTCGCTGGGCCTCGGTGGCTGCCTCCGTAAAGTGGGGATAATGACAGTGGCGACTCCTAGGTTTGCAGCGAGAAGAGACACAGGATGGGGCCTCAGTGCTTGTGCCCCCTTCCTTCCACCCACTTCCTTCTACAGCATCTCTGGGAGAAGCATGAGGCCGTGATTTAAGATCACCAGGAATTCTCAAATCTCTTGTCTCACGTCAGTCTCGAAACTACCACCCAGGGCAGCACGGCGATTATCCTCCTGTTGCGCTGGGGGAAACTGAGACACAGAGAGGGACGTGCTTTGTCTGCGGTCACACAGCGAGTGAAGGGGACAGCGGACACCACGCCTGGCCCGAGATGGGAAGAGGAGCTCATCGGCTGGGCACAGGGCCACGAGCAGGGGCGATGGTGCAGAGACCTTCTCATCCGTGCCCTGGGGACCAACCTCTGGGAAAACCAAATGCTTCCCAGGCCGGCTCAGGCTGCACTTGCTATTTTGAGTTCTCTAACACATGACACAGGCAACAGGAATCTGGGGGGACCCGGATCACTTGTCGTGTTGGCAATGGACCTGCTTGTGGTGGTGGCCAAGGGAGGGGCTGGGGGTGGTGAGGGTCGGCAGGGCAGGGGCGGGAGAGCAGAAGGCTGAAGGCGGAGCCGGGAGGCCCGTGGGGCAGGGGTGCGGCAATGGGGAGAAGGCCCATGGGGAGCCTGGAGGGAGGGCCTGCGGAAGGCAAGGGGTCGAGTGGGGCCTGACAGGAAGGCTGGCCGGCCGGTGTGGCATGTGGGGCCTTGCCCAGCACAAACGTGCCTTCCTAGGCCCGGAGCCCCAGACGCAGAGCCTGAGAGAGGGTGCGAGCAGTTTGCTTGGAGGTGATCTCGAGAAGTGGGTCATGGCGGCAGGGGGGAGCGGAAAGTGGTAGAAGGTGTGTTATCAGCTGGCGGCAACGGGGCTCCTTCCCCGTGAGGCCCCCTGGGAGACAACATAGAAGGAGCCTTAGGGTGTTCCTGCCTGGGGACGAGGAAGCTGGGTGTCCCCAACTCCCCTGTGACACTGGCCCTCAGCTGGGCCACTCCTAGGGCCCAGATCTCCCCACGGGGAGGCACAGGTGCTGGCAGGAGGGTGCCATGGGCCTGGCCGGGAGCGGTGAGCGCCGGGACGCCAACAACGGGCACCAATAGCATCCGAGGCAAGGAGGGAGCACGGAGGCCATCCCGCATGCACCTGTTCACCGAGCATCCCAGTGTGCCCATCTCATCAGGGAGACGGAGGATGAGAAGAGCACGCGGAGAGATGGTCAGCAGCGCGGGATTCGTGCCAGGAAGGGATGGAGGACGGATAAACAACATGTGGCGTATCCACACGACGGGGTTTGATGCAGCCATAAAGAGCAATCGAGCACTGAGTGTTGAAAATAGTGAGACTGAGCGCAAGACGCCAGATGCAAAAGGCCACATAGCGTGTGATTCCGTTCCCGTGAGGTGTCCCAGGCAGGCAAATCCGCAGAGACAGGAAGCAGGTGAGAGGGCGCCAGGGCCTCGGGGAGGGGGGGATGAGGAGAGACCGCTAATGGGTAAGAGGTTTCTTTCGGGGTGATGGAAGTGTGCTGAAACTAGCCGGTGGTGATGGTTGCACAACCTTTGTGAATGTATTAAAAACCGCTGCATTGCACACTTTGAAAGGGTCGATTTCATGGTGAGTGAATTATACCTCGATTCTTAAAAGCACACACATCATGGGGCCGTCTTTAGACGAGATGGTCAGGGAGGGCCTCCCGGAGGAGGTGACGTTTTTAGCTGAGGTCTGAAGGAGGAGGAGGAGTTGGCCATGGGGGTGGGTTGGGAGGGGGTGGGGCAGGAGGAGGCGTGGTGTGTAGGGGGAGT